CCAGCGACTGTGACGTAGTCGACGGGTTTCTTCCGGCCGAGCTTAGCGGCGGCATCGCGGCGATGCTCGTCAAGTTCTTGCTCGACAGCTACGATACCCATCTTGAAGTCCTGAATGTCTTCGTTCTGCTCGGCTTCACGGAAGAAGTTGTACTTGTCATCTTTGCGAGCAGCCTCGGGGTTGATCTTGTCAAGATAGGAAATAATAGTGTCGAGAATGTGAGGAAGGGAGAGAAGTGCGTTTGCGATGAGGGGAGAGTCAAACCCGATATCAGAAGCGGTCTTGATGGTCGCGTATTGGGTCGCAATACGCTGCAGGGACTGCAGTACAGCAAGGAGTTCGGGGCGACTACACTTTGCGTAGTACATGCGAATGAGGCTGCGCTCGAGGTCTGTCTTTATACTGACCAGAAGTGCCTCGAGCTTGTCAACCTGTGGGGTGCCCTGGCCATTGGCGATTTCTTCCACAGCGGCGACACGTTCCTCAAGCTGACTATCGTCAAGCAAAGGACGGCCAACCCACTTCCGCAGTAGTCGCTGCCCAAAGCGTGTAGAAGTCTTGTCGAGGGCCCAGAAAAGGCTACCGTGTTCGGTGTGGTCGGTGGAATTACGATATACTTCAAGGCTCTCGAGGGTTGAGCCGTTGATCAGCATGTGCTGGCGAGTTGTAAAGCTTTGGAAGTATTTGGTCAGATCAAATATATGCTCGAGGCCATACTCCTTGAGATGCGTGATCATTGCAGACAGACAGATAGTCACGGCCTCGGGCAAATGCAGGACTTTGTCGAGCAACAGTACTGCGGTCCCATTAGCAGCCGACTCCGCTGCCGTATCCTTCATCTTGTCAGCGTAAAACTGAGTGACGTGAGTGTAGGCCTCGGCAGCCATCGTTTTTTGATCGCGGGACTCGCTCAACGCGGCTCCGATCACCAAAGACATTGGTACTGCTGCCTGACAGGTGGCGGATCATCTTATCTGTACCCTTGGTGAGGTCCCCTACGATGACGAACTCGCACGGGGAAATGTGCAGCAGGCGGGTCTCGATCTCACTACGCATGAATCCGTCTTCGAAGTTATCGTAGATGATGTCTCCCGTTGCCGGCTGGACTGCCACGATGCCCACATCGACCTTCTCGTCCGTGCCTTGACCTTTGGAAGGCGTCTCGGTAATGCAGAGAAGATAGCCAGCGGCTGGGGCGCCATTTTCCCCTTGCGAATCGAGCTCTCCATTCTCGTCAATGTATGTACCTTTCGTGTAGACGTTGGTCAGCTTGCGCACGAAAGGCGCATTCCGGTTGTCGCCAGCCTTTTTCAGTGCAGCTGTCTCGAGTTGCCGCACGACTCCAACCTTGTGACCGGCGGCGACAAGCCTCTTGGCGTGTACGGGCAGCCGGTGAACGGGGATGCTGGCGGATGCGAAACGGTCGAGATGTGATTCGGAAGGATGCTCGTCGTAGCGGAACTTGCCAGGTATGCAGACAATGCTCAGCTCGCGAGCGGCGATTCGCGCATCCTCGCCAAAGAAACGGAACTTGTAGCCAACCTCAACAATGAGGACTGTGTCCATATGTTTGCGTTTGATGTCGAGGAACTGTATCTCCATGGGCGTGAGCTTCTTGTTCGCGCGAGCGCCACCCTTTTTCGCGCCTTTGGGTGGCGGTGGTGCCTCTTCCTCATCGCCATCTTCCCCGTCTTCATCTTCAGCGCCCTGTGTAGCCTCTTCAGTGGCAGGACCCCGCGACGCAGCATGCTGTCTGGGTGGCCAAGTTTCTTGACGAAACGTTTGTGAAGATCTTCTTTCCGTCTTCTGGGCCATTTCTGCGTCTTCCTCTTCTTCGTCATCTTTTTTAAGCGGCACTGCAGCGTCAGAAGACGGTTCCATGCAAAGAAAGCGCTCTGTTCGCGATGACGGTTTCGGTGCAGATGGCCGGGCCTTGGATCCAAGAGGCGACGATGGTGAAGGGGCTACCTCCCCTTCGGCCTCTTCCGAGATATCGGCCTTTCTCCTCTTCAAAGTCCTATTGGATCCATTGTTGACTCGGTCGGCGTCCTCCTCTAGCGGCCTCTTCCGGGAAGTCTCGACTGGCTTTGTCTTGTTGGTTTCGGCTCGCGATGGCGATGGCGATTGCGTCGTCGGCTTCTGTGAAGCAGCCACGGGGCTGCTGGCAGGCCTAGGCTGAAAGAAGCTTGTGAGGGACTTCTGCTTCTTCTCGGCTGGCGCCATGATTGGATTCGGGAGCTTACTGGCGGGGATGGAGTTGAAAGGGCTCGGCCTGCACGAATCGGGGAATGTGGTGATGTCAAAATCGAGTCGCGTCTCGGGGTCATGGACGCGTTGAGAGGTTCCAGGGTCTCCTGGGGTACGAAGATACTTTCTGTGCACGGACCATTTGGACCTCTCGGGCCGTGTACGAACCTCACAATAGTGTCTCCTGCTTGCCTCCATCTGCCTATCTACATGATGATGCATTATATCATGTTGGATCGTTTGTAGGCTCATTTTCGTACGTATATACTCGGTCTTTTGAACCAGTCTGAACTGCCTTGTTTCTGTTACTTAATGACCACTGTTCACCTCGCCCATGCCCCATAGAGCAACCATGGAAGCTCCAACACTGACCGTCATACGAGCTTGGTCTACCAAGTAGATCTTGATGATGCTCGCGGTAATTTGGCCATACACCACAGCGATCGCAATCTTGCCGTGGCGGTCATTCTTCGCGGCACTTGATCCATCACCAACATGAGAGCAGACTGCCGGCCGTACAGCTTGTCACGCTTATACAACAGATGAAGAGGCGCCTGGGCGTCGACCATGAAATTTCCGATGGATTCAGTGCTGCGACTCATAAGCAGCATCCGCGACGCCCTAAAATTGATCAGTATAGAGCGAGTTTTTCGACGAGGGGTCTTTCTGTGTCAGGCTGGATCATACGGCCTCGGTCGCCTGGTGATCCGCACTGGGACCAGCGCAGCTGTTGGTCTTGGCTGAGGAATGCTCTCCTCGATTACGTTGGCGGCAACAGTCACGGAGCCGGTCTACCTGGTTTGACATCTTCGATCAAAGCCACGGCTGCACTGCGGCACAATGTTTATCAGCATAGTCGGCATGTTCTCCAATAACGCAGCTCTCACATGCGATACTGACATACTTGAAGCTTGGGCTCACGGCATGGCGACCATATTTTCGGTCTAGTCTATTGGTTGCCCCTAGTACTGCCCGAACCTGCTTCTTGGGCTTTTCTCTGCTTCATATATGAATTCTTCACCTTACACAAAGCAATTAAACGAACCCTACCCCTACCTATACTGACTCTACGGGTCAAGCATACTTCTGTAGTCAGACCTGGCTGAGTTGGAAGATGACTAGGCTCGGCATCTCGCAAACACACCGTCTTTGTGGAACTTGGTCGCAGTCATGTTTCAATGCGAACACACAACCAAAA